CTTTGTGGAGACGGAGTCATGCTGCAGCAGGACAATGATTCCAAACACACCATCAAAGCTTTGATGAACTATTTGAACACCAAGGACTCTTCTCCACAGTCACCTAATCACGCTGGACATTAGTGTGGCCACTTGACAGCTGAGAAAGCCAAACATTTACAAGAAGTTCTGTAGAACGTTGTCAGATCATGACGGGATGACATAAGCGACGAGGTTTTGCACAAACTTGTGAAGTCAATGCAGCTTGATGTTGTCAGTAAAGTAAAAAGAGGGCAAACAAATACTAAGATATTCTGAAATTCATATACATTTTTTTAGAGAATTAACTTTTCAGAGAGGTTCTTTATCTGATATTATCACTTGTAAAGAAAATTTTAGCAATAAATTTGGGGGGAAAAAATCCAAATAGAACTATTCTCTCTAGTATTGTCAGATTTTTGGACCCCGTCATATCTGCTATTCACATTTCCACATACACATCATGTTCCACTCTGCTTTATGTGTGGGCAACTGCAAACCAAGAAAGGGGTTAAGGTGATCAAAACTAAATGAAACTGTGATTCACCGCTCAAATTTGAGAAACCATGTTATTTTTTTACTTTCACTAATTCAGCATTCATATGTTTGAAAACCATGGGAAAATATGAGCTGTCACAATGAGCTGTGCTTACATAAGTGCGGTTAACACCATCAAAAGCGTGTATGCAAATGGACGTAGGCTTGAATGTGCTTACGCACTTGCACCCAAACACGATAGAAACAAAAACAGTCTGGAGCATTTAATGTCGTACATAAAGTATCAAACTACAACGGATAAATTACTAATTGAACCAGAAAGGTTTCGCTAATTTAAACTTGTATAACTGACAACCCATGGGAATAATATAGACTTCTTGAACCTTGAACCAATGTCCAGGTTGACTGAACATTGAGTGCAGGCGGAATTTCAGAGCTTCATGTGCACTCGATAGATGCTTGTTCAACAGAAGGACAGGGCTACTTTAGTTTGAGGTCATGGTAATACATTCCTCCAGTACTGCTTGCTCAGCTCTGCAGAAATTATAAGGTTTCTGAGGAAGTTTTACTCAGTATCTGAGGTCACACATAGATGCCAAATTTTCTTATATATAGAGATTTTTTTTATCTGTTTCCGTTAGAATCACACTGACAGATCTACCACAGACGTATAATGGTATAGATTCAGGGGGCAGCGATGGCAATATTACTAATCAGAGGAAAGCTCACATTTACCATGATGCACGAACTGGAAGGAAGTCTGAGTGCGTAAAGAATTCACTGGAATTCCAGAAGGGTCTCTGTAGGTCATGAACACGTATGTAAAACTCCAAAAAACTTTGCTTTTCCATTCTGCACAGTCTTCAAAAAAAATGTGCATTCACCCACTCAGATATTAGCTGTCATATTAGGTGTCACAAAACATGTTACCGCAACCGGCAAAGTGTGAGCCGAGCTGACTAAAAAGGTGTGATCAGCGTCACCCTGTTGAAGCACCTTTAGGAAGTCGTTGTGTATACATGAAACACTGGCACGCATACTGCTATGATTTACATCCAAGTGACAGCACCCACTCGACATTGTGGAGGACCCAGTGCAACACGCACAAAAGCACACACACAGCCAAACGGACACCCGGTTTGAAAGTGAAAGAGAAATGTGGTGAATCTGTTTCGAGAGACGTACAGTTTTTCCTATCAATGTAACACTTGCAAATACACTAAGCTGACGCAAAATATGCACAAATGCAGAAAATGTGGTGCGTAAGGTACATTGTGCACCTCGTCCGGGCTGCAAAGCACAAAGATGCCGCAAGCAACTGCCAGCATCCATCTCATTTTTGTCACATATTTCAATTGATTGTAACAGAGTGTTCCATTTTGATTCATGTTCCAACAGGGGGCAGATATGATATCAGCAGTCTGGTTTCAGGTAACAGGCTGAAAAATCGCTGACGGCAGATTCTGGGCAATGGTGTGTGTGACAGTATGAGAAACTGGCTTAAGGAGGTAAGAGGTGAAATCGTCTTCACCACATGAGCATCCATCCCTCCAGCAGAAGACTTTCTGATCAACAACAAAGTGATATGTGTGAGATAAGATTCAACTGATTCAGCTTTGGCCCCATTTCTAGGAGGCAGTGTGAACAAATCTCCTTGATCTTTGAGCTGTGTGAGAAGCCTTACTTCAGCTTTACAGTGAATTACATGAAATGAAATGAAGCTTCCACTGGACAACACCTGAACATTGAGCAGATCAACTTCAGTAAAATTCTCACATACACAAAGAAAACTCAAACCGAAAAATCGCACACCAACTAGATCCTCAGATCCACTGAATAATAGATTTTACAAAGCTTTGTTGCCATTCTGTCAAACACACTCGTTTCTTTGTTAAATTGCTCTTTTTATTCTTTGTGCTGAAATGAGACAGAAATGCAAATAGAGCTTGAGAAACGCAGTTATATTAAACTACAGACTGTTCTGAAAATAAGGAAACAACTTAAGTAAATATCTTGTGACACACAAGATCTGTAACACTTAACACACTGTCATCTGATAACACCTTCACATGAGATACTGACAGTTTGATGACACCCCAGTTCTGTGAACAGCTGTCGAAAGACCTCATTCATGGTGTGTTACGTTTATCGCTCAACAGTGTCTCTGGTCACTTCTGAGCAAAACATTATGAGTTGTGTGTGAGGAAGACCTCTGACTAACAACATAAAATTGACTGCTTTCTGAACCGATTATATGACATCATAGCGGACTCAAAATCTCTCACACACATTTTTTTTTTTAAAGCCACAACCGCAATCCCAGTAAACAAAGGTGCATCGATGCATAGATGCAGACATGCACGGGTTCACATACAGTAACAAAGAGGGGTTTCCCATAAATGGGTTACTGCTGACTCATTAATTTTACATATTGACTTTCAAATGTATATATACGTATATATGTTGCGTGAACAAAGGTTTTGGGATTTTCACAATGATATCACAATCTACAACAAATAATTTTTATGAAATATTCTTATCTTTACATTTTGATAGTTGACCCTAGTCAGGATTAAGGTGTATAGATAATGGATGGATGGTTTTTTTTTTGTTTGTTTGTTTTTTGTTTTGTTTTTTTCCAGAAAGTTGTCCCTTCCTGGCCTAAAATGGCTTAGATGTAACTATACACTGTTGCCTAGTCCAGAATAAGCAGATGAGGTCCCTGCCTCTCCACTCACTGCAGGCCCAGCACACCAGCTCACCTACAGCTCTGCTCAAACTACTTTAACTTACGCAATGGCAAGATGTTATTGTTGGAATAGTTTGTGATACATGTTCAAACTGGAATGCCCTTTCTTTTAGACTTTAGCTTTTAGGCATTGTTTTTATTTTATTTTATTTTTTACCTTTATTTGATAGTGACATTTGAAGTGAGAGACAAGAAACGGGGGGAAGCAGAGATGGGGTTCGACATGAAGCAAATAAATCATGAGCTGTAATTAAACTAAGGCACTACATCAGCTATACTACAGCCTTTATGTACACACTGCAGCTATATAAGGATTACAGTCATTATATTTGGGTTCCCTGCACATCCAGATGAGCTACAAAAAAGTTAAAAACAAACAAAAAAATAATAATAACGACCGAAGACCCCACCCTGCAAGCTGACAGGACTGGTTCCTTAGGTTTGTTACGAATGAAAGACCAGAAGCCTGAATCTGTGTGTTTAAAACTGTCCTTGTAAAGAAAAAACCTGCAATATATGCATAATACATTTCTCAGTTTTTTTGTATGTTATTTGATTTTAATAGGATTATATAAAACTAATGATGTCCAAATGTCGCAGTGAAAAACTATTAATTCTGTTATTAAAGACAAATAGCCAACAAACTCTCCTTTTAAAAGATTTTTTTTCAGTTCATTAAGACACAGTAACTGTATATATAAGGCAGGGAAATTATTATTGAACCTCATTCTGTTAATATCATGTTTTTATTTAGGAATTTTAAGTCTTCCATATCATATTCCATCTTAACAACAAAATCAGGATCTTTTTCTTAAACCTGTCGTTTTCTCCTGGAGTTCTTCACATTTGTCTGTGTTGTTCATATACTGCCTGTATCAGTGCACACATGATTCCCAGAAATTAACTTTAACCTTCACAAATTATCCTGGACATTGTAAAGTCTTCATCATGCACAATACTCCTTCCAAGTATCTGCAAAATACCAGTGTTGCCCAACACAGCTTAGACAAAGTATGACCCGGATACACAGAGACACAGACGTTTTGGATAAGTGGACATTCCATAGAACTGAAAAAGTACCAAAGGAAAAAACCCTTTATACTGCACCTCCTGAGAGTACCCAACCACTTGTCTATGTTGTTTCTCCTTTAACAAGTACATACGTTGTTCTTTTTTTTATTATTATTTTTTGCCCCTGCATATGGAACACCAAGAAACAAAAATAGGTTGACTTTGATCATCAGCTGACAATCAAACACAGAGACTAGTGGATCTCTTTAAACTTTTCACACGTGTTACGCAAGTCTGACATACAGAGAGAGAATCCACAGCGTCATCAAACCACAGCTTAATATCATTTCCATATCTGACGTCCACATCTCAGCATTATTTCCTTTGTTATTGTGAAGAATGTACGGAATGATATTATGCCATGTACTGCATCTAATGCAATTTCAAACACATTTTAATTAAATTAATTAATAATAATTAAATCACTTGTAGGTTCCGTGTCTGTACTAGTTAAGTGGCTTCAGCAGGAGTGAAATGTAAAGTCACATTACCAGTATTGATACTATCACCTTGATTCATTTATAATAATAATCATTGTTGTTATTAGAAGCATCATTATTTTAGTTTTATGCCTTATAGAAGAGTGTTGTACCAAATATTAAACTCATCAAACATTGATTCAAAGACTGACAGTAAATAATGATGTCTTATCAAATTTCCATAAGTGCTATGTCAGATTTTTTTTCCCTTGACAGTTCAAAATGATGAAGTCTAATAATAGCACCACCCTGTCTAATGGGAGGGGTACACCTTTTCAATGCGTGATTCTACAAGAAAAAAAAAGAGAGAGAGAAAAAAAAAAAAACCCAGCACGCATGAAACATGTTTAACCGTTTCACTTCCAGTTAGTCTCCTCCCTCAGATATCGGTTCGAATTTTGGCTATAAATACCGATAACCGAGGAGCCCTAAAATGTGCACTTGTCGATTCTGAGCTCTCCAGCAAGATTCCTGCCAAGAAGAACTTTTTGGAGGTTGTGGGGTTTTTTTTTCATCCACCGAGCCAGCAGTATCTTCACTCCCTGGGGGTCTACTCACCTCATCCTCTCCAAGGCACAAGACTTCAGCAGTTTGTTCTCCAGCAGCTATGGCCCTCCGGTGCGTCCTCCTCTCCGTCCTGGTTGTCTCCTGGTTCCTCTGCACTGACTCCACTCCAACCTGCAATAACCAGTGCTGTCGCTTCGTGGAGGGCTTCCCTGTCAGGCTCAAGAAGCTCAGAGAGGACTATTCACAGATCAGAGACTTCTATGTGAGTTTGAAACACACACACACACACACACACAGAAAGAGAGAGACTCTACATGCATACCTGCACTTACTGCAGCATCGTTTTGGAAAGATTCTCTCCGGGCTTGTGGCCGCGTTGCGCGTCTGCAGATGATGCTGCGTTTTCTCAGCGCTGTTCGTGCAGATGTTGTCACACTGAGAAGCACTCTTCTGATTGTTCTTTTGCTTGTTTGCAGGAAGCCAACGATGACTTAGACACAGCACTTTTAGACCAGAGTGTGGAGGACTCTTTTAAGGTAATTTTCTCGTGCATTTATGGTGTGAAAGAAAGAAAGAAAGAAAGAAAGAAAGAAAGAAAGAAAGAAAGAAAGAAAGAAAGAGAAAAGCTGTGATCCGTTAAATGTAATCAGTGCAGTGTTGCAGCAAGCCTACTGACATCCAATAACCAGACTGGTGTCCTCCCTCGCCCTCTCAGAGCCCGTTTGCCTGCCACACCATGGACAACGTTTTAAACTTCTACCTGAGCACTGTCCTGCCAAAAGCTATGTCAGAAGTGACTGAGGACACCAGGGACCTGAGACCCCACATGGAGTCCATACAACAGATTTTCGACGAGCTCAAGAGCGATGTCATCAAATGCGTAAGTAGTTGATACACGTGTTACTCCCACACGAGAAATAATATGTAAATACGCACCGGCTGCGCGCACCTGGAAGATCAAATGGAGTGGGAAAAAAAAAGTGCGGCAGGATAGTTAGAGTCACCTTTTGGAGGAAAAAAAACGTTTATTTCGTTAAACTGTTGAATATAATTAGGATTAAAACGAGCCCATATGAACACGCTGGTCTTGGAGTATGGCTAAAACAGAATCATGTATATCATACAATCATTTTCGAGAATTGCGCGCAACTGAAAGGTGACAATTGGACACGTTGACTTCCATTTTTAATTGCCATCAATACTGTCGATGTGCCTTTATTTGGTTATCTGTCAGTAAGCTAGAATTGTAGACCTTATCTGTCACATTCTAACTCTTAAAGCAAGCTTGGTTTCAGGTTGGCTTTTACTGTCATGATTTTCTACAAACTGTTTGACATCAGCTTGTCCCAGAAAAGGGAAGAGTTTAGTTATGGCTCACAGGAAAGGTCATAATATTGCATAACTGTGCATCATCCAGTTCCTGTAAAAAGGGAAGAGAAGGAGATATATTATTTCTAACAACTGAGCTTCCACTTGCCCTGATGCTGCCTCTGATTTATTGCACACAAACACTTACTTTGATGAACTGGCACATTCAGTCTCCATTAAGACCCTTATGTTTCTTGACAATAACCACTGTATAACACCTGTGGTAACATCATCTTCCTGTTGCTCTTCTTACAGAGAAAATACTTCTCCTGCAAGAAGCACTTTGACATCAATAACCTAAACTCTACTTACACTCAGGTGAGTGTTACATTTTTTTTTTTTTTTAATTCTAAAAGTAAAGAGTTGTCATAATTGTATTTGTAAGTGTACATTATACATACTCTTACACATCTTTTTTTAATAAGTGAACCATGTGTTTGTCCACAGATGGAGAGTAAAGGTCTTTTTAAGGCCATGGGGGAGCTGGATCTGTTGTTTAACTACATTGAGACATATCTGGCTTCTAAACGGCACAGACACCACTCGACCTCTGCTTGAAGACCTACCGACCCTAATCAAAATGTAACCTTTTCACCTCAGGAAAAACGCTGCCTACTTTTTTTTTGCCCAGTGGTATGCATGTTGTCAGATTTTGTTTTATAAACCTGTTGATGTCTTTCTTATTCAGAGACTTAAGTTTCCGTTTTGTCCTGTGGACATATTTCTATTGTGTGAGTCCTGCACTTGAGGGTACATCAAAACTGTGACTTGTGAAGTGGTGATATTTAATTTTTTTTACCATGTCATATAATGTATTTTTGTATTTATTTACTAGTATTTTCAAAGATAATAATAAATAACATTTTTATGAATATATATAAATGCTTCTTTTCAATTTATTTCACAAGATGTCACTCATTAGGAATGATTTGTGGAGAACTAAATATGTGAAATCTTGCAGTAATGCATTAAACATGTGGAACCTCAGAGCGTAAACGTGAAACGTGACCCACTTACATCACTTACCAGCAGCAGCCCTGCAGTATCTTAACTTACCGTAACTGTAACTAGCCAGCCTCACCCTCATGCCATATGCACACTTGCACAAACACATACGCATGCAAAAGCAGTCTCACTTAGTCACACACAAACACGCAGAACTAACACATAGGGTGACATGAAGCTTGCACTGAAACACAACAGGCAATTAGTGTCACCCTCTCCGCTGTGACAGAGCCGGGGGGAGGGGGCAATAAAACGCAATAAAGGAAGCAGTTAAAAAGAAGTGTGCATCCTGCTATTTGAATGTATGTGAGTGCATTAACTCTAACAGCAAAGTCACACAAGCGTCAGGTTCCTGAATTGACTGATTCTTGGCTTGACTCAGGGCTTTGTGCTGAAACTACTACACATTTGATCAGTCATTTGCTTCGTCAACGTGGGCTGATTTGAATAGTATCATTCCAGCAATGACAGAATGAAAAGAAATTCATCGCATTCGTCTAACAGAGCACAGCTATTTCCTTTTGACCAGTGTTGATGATTAATCAGTGATTAATCAGTGTTGTGTTCAATCTTTTAAAAATTCCTACATTTTGATCCAGACTTCAGTCTCTCCAAAACGAGTGATTACACTTCAAACTGCTTGACTGTGAAACTAATTAAGATAATTTCTGGCTGTTATGTAATGAGTGGACGCTTTTGTTCTGACGGTTTGAAGGCACGGTGAGAAAAACTAGAGGCAGTCATTTTCACAAGCATTCCTGCTGCAGACTACAGCGGTGCACAAGATTTAAAAAAAAAAGTCTCACAATAATCAGAGTCAAACATCTTTGAATATTGTGTAGATTTGTAAAAGCAGATTATATATAGATTATATATATATTTAAAAAATGCAGCAATAAGATGTTTTGTTGTCCTTAAGCAGGGACAGCATTTAAACTGAAGGGTTTCTACTCTACTACTACTGTTACTACTAATAACAATAACTTGTATCATCAGTTCAGCTTCATGACATGTTATGATGAGTAAAAGCACTATTATGCCTACTTACATCTGTCTGATCAACACTGTCACAGCATCGTGTTTCACAACACCAGCAGCATATAGACAGAAGTCACCACACCATCCATCATTGTGCAACAACTGGAACTTTGGGTACTTCCTGAGTATGGGCATTACCCTATTTGGTGTTGGACATAAAAAAGTCTCTTTCGTCACAGTGTAAGACTATTGTGTGTGAGTGATCCATTTTGGGATTTTCACAAATCGTGCATGTTTGTGTACTGTAACGCAAGCATCAAATGACCGGAAAGTGACTTTGGGGGGGGACGACTGTACGATTAACAACAAATGCTTAGCAAAATAACGAAGAGCCCGGAGAGCTAATGAGTGTCCAACAGCACAGCATAAATGTACACACAGAATGTAAAAAGTCGCCTTCCTGGTGTAGTTAAAACCAGCAGTACAGATTCACCAGTGACTGGACCTTCCAGATACAAGTGTCTTCATACTAAAGTCATTTAAGACCCATTCACTGCACTCCTGTGATCACCATTTCCCCACCTGTGTGACTTCTAGCACCAACCGGCTCCACATCTGTTGAATTAGTTAAATCTCTTTAAAAAGGGTTAACACTTATGCATTCACTTATTTTATATTTTGAATGAACAGACATTACTTTGTTTGTTTTCACTTTGACATTAAAGATATGCTTTTGATTTTTAACATTTTTGTCAAAAAAAAAAAAAAAAAAGCCAAAACAAATTGACAGTGATTCAATTCTGAGAAGCAATAACCCCCAAATAAGCAGCCAGCATCATACAGCACCGTATTCAGCAACACAAAGAACAAGCGGCCCCGAAGCAGATTGTCCTGATGTCAACATTATGGAGTCAATCTGTGATTAAACAAAGAGACAGAAGCACTGAGGCGACCTAAATTCACTCGAGATGATTATTCAAAGCTAGGCACCTTGACAAAAAGACACAACTGTACCTTGGACAATTTATGCCATTTTAATGCAAAAGGCTGATTATACCAAATATCTGAGTGAGGCTTTTTCTTCTTGTTAACTGATAAATAAAATATATTCATAAGGATATATTTTTAAAGCCTTTATTGTATATAAATCTACATTTCCCTGCTATTTTTGACTAATGTCTTTCTACACAAGAGGCATGTTTTTAAAATAATCAGCAAAAACATGAACAGAAAAAAACTACAAAAACCACATTTACCCAAAGCTGTACATGACATTAAGAACAAACGGATTTCCAGCACACGTGAAAGCAAATGCTGTTGCACATGTCAAGATGACAAACGAAAGGCTGTCTGTTTGATCGTGACTGAAAACCTTGTTAACTTCACCCTGAGCTGTGGGTTTTGTGCTGAGGTTACATGTGGCATCTTTCTGCTGCTGCCACGTCTGGAGCAGGTCACTCACACTTTACACAGGCTCCATCTGGTGAGAGGAAGTGTGTTTGAGTGAGAAGAAGGACAGCGTGCCACTTCAAAGAGCTGTGTGTCACTAGCTGCCTCAGCTGAGAAGTCTCCATCCTCCACCTTTAAAAAGTCGCACACAGCAGTGAGATTATGGGGCCCGACCTGCTGACAGTTTCAAAACTAGAAAAATCACTTGTTTTCACATTTCTAAAGAAAAACAGCACTGAAACTTCCTTTGATAATTAAAATCTTGGTGTTAACTGTTGAGAAGATGACTTCAGAAACCACACAGAACATGTGCCTCTAAAGTTTACCTATGTGTGACCCCTGAGTTTTAAATGACGTATTCAGTCCCCCACCCCCTCTTATACTATAAAATAAGTGCGGGGCCGTTCCTCCTTTTACCAAAAGTGCGCTGGTGGGTGTCCTGAGGTTTATTGTAGGTATTATTGTAAAGGGGTAGAACATCATAAGGGACTCCCCTGAAGCCCCATTTACCCCATTCTCACTTACCTGGCACAGACGAGCAGAGATGACTGTGGGTTTCGTGACACTCAGAGCTGGAAGCTCAGTCGGCTTGCACCTGCAGAGAAACAACCATGTGGACTGGCGGGAAACTGCTCTGAACAACCCAGTGTTGGCAAACGTGTTGACTCAATGCCACTGTGCCGTCTGCTACGCAAACGCGTATATTCCAGGAGTCACTCATGCTAGCAAAGACGACATGTCTGTCATGAGTTGACTCTGTGCACTCTCTGTCAAAGCCACAAATCCCAAACCGAACCAAAAACCTGAGTCACAACGAGAGACGTGTTTGAGCGGAAAAAGTCAGTAAATGTGGAAGCAGAGGTCAAATATGGTGAAAATACTTTAAAGATAGGTTTTCTTTACAAAATTCTGTAGGCATTTGTTCATTTAGAGGACAACTGACAATCCAGAACAGATCTCACACATGGAATACACAGCAATCACAATAAAATGGCTGCATTATGTAATAACCTCAAAGTTAGACAGTAGGGCTACTTCTCCTGGCATTTCATTCGTAACTCTACGTTATACATCCTTTCAGATTTTGGGTCCGTTTTCAAAAGAGGCAATGATGTCAAATGTCACTTGTTGTAGGGATTATACGATAACAGAGTTAAAACTAGATACTATAACATCACCAGACTGTCCAGGAGACAACTCTACCAAATATTTAAATTTCAACATAATTTTTACAGCAAGAATTTTGGATGATTTTGAAACTATTATATAGAAATTCAACACTTGTGACATCTATACCATTTATTATATTTGTAAAGTATGCTGCCTTTAGAAGTGTAATGCATATTTTTTTGGACTTTCAAAACTGATTTCAAATTTAGAAAAGAAGATTTAAAAAAAAAAAAAAAAAGCATTTTGCGTTTTTTTTTTGTTTGTTTTTTTAATCCAAAGCTGAAGCAGACAAAAGTACGGCAGGTGGAGCTGAACAGATTCAATGACAGGAAAACAGAGACACATATGTGCTTCCACTACAAAAATGTGTTGAGAGGAACAATAAAAACAAAAACTTTTCAGAAACATTCAAGAAACATTTTTTACTTACTGAGAGACTTTAGGTGCGATGCGAAAACTAATATGGGTGTGACTTTACAAAATGAAGGGAATCAAAGTGACCAAGTAATCAATCTTTTCCTAAGATCCCGACTAAGCTGTGAAGTGTCCATTGTGCAACAACAAAACACGAGTGAGGAAGAAACCAATGTACCCTCTGTGAATGTGAAAACAGCTTGCTGGTGGTATGTCAGACTGTCCTCAGGGACGAGGAGCAGCTCTTAAGTACTTTCCTACTTTCTATCAATCCTCCAGGACATGTGGAGGATTGTTGGAGAACACTGGCATTGTACCAAACTAGCCAAAGACTGAGCCTCCTGATAGTTGAGCTGGTTTAACCAACAGTAAGTCTAAATGACCAGTCTGCACGGTGTACTCTCAAGGGGATGCTACTGCCTACATATACACACACAAACACTCCCTATTGTTGCTCGACATCTCTCCAACATATTTGCAAACAGAAATCACTAACAAAAAGGCTCTAGCAGTACTTTAAGCTGACAAACACATCTGCATAGCATTAACCTGAAATATAATGTGGCAATGTTTTATATTCGGAAGCATAACATTGGTAAAAGCTTGAACCAAATGGTAGGCGGGGGTTAAAAGCCATTTGCTGATTTAGCAATACTCAGTAAGGCCTATGCTAAAACGTCCATAACGTCCATGAAAAAATACAGTATCAGTTGCCTCCTGCTCTCCTTTGAGCTACATGCAGGAGAAAGATGGGCCAGTTTCTGTTTTTAAACATGGCTTCTTTCTCTGCCTTAAAACTATATACCTGAAAAACAAGCCTAGATTAAGGTAGGAGAGAGGGGCCACAAGTGAGGTGCTCTGTCAGAATGGCACACGGCCCTTGAGTGAGTGCATAGGCCTCTGTTCAATATTCACAAAGACAAACTGAACCTGACAGACAGTCCCAGTCCAAGTCACAGAAATTAGCAACTATTTCCAGCTAATTCCAACAGTCAGGGACAGAGTCCTTACATTCCACATGTCAGTTCAAAATACATCTGCTTACTCTGCATGTATGTAAAAAAGAAACCTTCCCTTGTTTATATTTTTGGGATTTAGCCATTTGATTTGACATTCAGAAGTTTGGGGCTAGAGCGGGGCTGCAGGATAAACGATAACTACTGCTAATGCTAAGGCTTCATGTCCTATTCCAACATTCAAGCCCCTCTGAGTACACAACCTGATATTTGGGAAAGAAGAGGAAAGAGATCTCACTGATTTCCTGTCCTCTCCTTTTCTATAGTTGATAATCTCTTCAGTGGTGTAAAAACACAGATAATCATCCCCTCTGCCAGAACAGAGTGATGAGTTTGTTAAAATGGTAAAAGTAATAAAAACAAAAACACTCTTACAAAACATTAGAATTTGCCATGAAAAATAAAACACTGACAAAATCCATGCAATGCGACTTATGTCGACAAATTATTGCTTCCTTTTCACAACCTGTGTTTGTATGTGCATGCATGCGTGCATCTTTCAGTGGGCAGCGGACTTTGGGTTCGCCATGGCATTATTGGCTTTATTCCTCCTTTTCAATAGCAGTGGATTGGTTGAGTCCGCAATGGCCTTGATTTTGATTTGCTCATAATCAACCCTCATTGTTGCCAAGGCATAGGTCATTTCCTCCTGAGAAATGAAGAAAAGAAGGTCGTGAGGCTCCCTGCTTTATGCACCAAAAACTTTCCAATAGACATCTTAAAACCATACTGAACTATGCTGTGCTCTTCAAGTTAGTCAGAGTATGACATCTACTCGATATGAAGCTACTCCCAGGGGATAAGAAATGCAATCAAACACCTCATATGCATAGCTTCTTTCTGTTAGTTTTTCAATTAAGATTTTCTGTGCCATAAACTATATCTATGAACTGCACAAACAAGCAAAAAGAAAACACACACAAAAAAAACAACAGCTTATTTTTTATATTTTAAATTTCACACTCAAATCAAAAATAGGAAATGAACAAAAACACCCCACTGACTAAAGAAGAGTTTAATATTTAATGTGTCACATGTGGTGAGGAAGTTACTGCCTTCTTCACATGTTGCACGTGACACAAAGTTCAGTGTCAAAGAAAAGCTGAAAACCCACATCACAGACTGATTTCAAGTCAGGGCATCTAAATTGTTTTCAAGGAAATTGCTTTGGTTTTGACACCATGGCTGCACTGGAACAATACTCTAGTTGAATTAAAGACTTATAACACCATTATGCTGTTATAATATTAACAATTATGACAAAAAACTGAAAATCATTAAAAACGAAATTTAGTGTAGTAGTCAGATCATTTGATTGAACCTTGAATATTAAAAAATATATATTTTTCTAAGAATAAATGAAACTAACTCCCTGCATCCATAGCAACCTTATATATTTTCTGTGTCTTGTAACAGTTTATATTTGTTCACAAGTAACGTGTTCTAACATGACATTATTCAAAATACTTTGAACAAGAAACCCAAAACATAACAAATAACAACAAAAAGTTATGTTCAGGCTGGTACTTATCACACTGAACAATGTGACAACATGTGTCAAGTGCAGCACACACAGAAGTCAGAAGCTTCCTGGTCAGACCAACTGGACATAATAAATATCTCGTCCAAGTTTATCATTTCCTATTTTTTGACATGAGCAGAAAAGCAAAAACACGCACGCACACACGCACACACGCACACACACACACACACACAAGAGAAGCTGTTATTAGTGATTTTTGATTGAAAATGAATGATAAAATAATTAAAATATTTTTTATTTTCTAATTTTGATTTCTCAGGTGACTAGTAGAGAAGGAATGATACAATAATCCCTTCTATGGACGAGTAATTATTGCAGCAAAACTAATGAGATAATTCAGATAGTTATGGCTAACCTACACTGGGTATATGATGTAAATTAATAGGCTAATAAATATATTTTTCACATATTAGAAGTTGCCACTTTTTATGATCAAACAATAAAATCTGAGACTGTTATAGATGGAAGATGCAACCTCCTTAAAACCATGTATTTTTTTTTATTTAATGATGATATCACAAATGCTGAAATGTCTGTATGTTGCAAAGAGAACAAGATGTCCAACCTTAACATCCTCCCATGTATCCCTCTCCTCCATCAGAACCTGGCTGGTGTGAAGTGGTGTCTGGGGGAGCTCCATTGATCGCTTTAGGAGGACACACAGAATAACATCCAAATCATACTTTAGTGTGGTCACACTGGCCACAACAACAGACAGAAAAAAGATAAGACTGAGCAAACACATGCAATGTGTGTAGAGTCAGTGCTTACATTGATCCATGGATGATTCATGAACTCTGTGATGGTCATCCTTTGGGTCGGTTCAGTCTTTAGGAGGGTGCTAATCAGTTGTTTGGCTGCAAACAAGATTCATCATTTAAAGCATTGCATTGCAAATTCCTTGCTAATACAACTACTTTTCAGAAGTTTTCAAAAGAAAAGTGCATAAAAATGACAGACACGATCAACCACAGCTTGGTAAAGACAAAGGCCTTTGTCTCTGCATGATGGTGACAACATACACTGTTATTATATACTTTTGAATTTTAGTGTTCATTAGCATACAGTATATCCCCACATATAAAGAGACATCTACTAAAATAGACAGGGTTCAGTGCCCCATTTTCTAAATGATGTCATGTGAATTGGAAAAGAGAGCGAGGGAGTTATGAAACTGCAATTTAGACTGATCTGGTGGAGGCAGCCTGAGTTTATCTTATTGTGAATTTCTCAGAAATATTACTTTGTTTTATTATTGAGACATCCTACTTTTAAGAAGGCAACAGTATCAACAGTACAGATAGTGCTGGTTCTTCAGTTTTGTATTACAGTAAGTACAGCACATCCGCCTGTTTTGTTGTTCTACTCATACACGTTAGAGAGAAATTGGGTAGGTATGTACCATCACCGCCCAGCTTCTATTTTCTCCTTAAAACAAACGTATTAGTCGGGAAACAAGAAATCACTTTCAATTGCAGTGAATGTGAATGAAAGTAACAAAAAGGCATGAAACGCCTTCATCAGTTTCAATTTCTTGATCAGAAAGTAAAGACCAGTGTGTTTGTCATGCATCGGTGAGATGTTAAATAAAGGGAAACAATAACGTCATGAAACTTCAATGAAAGTTTTTTTTTTCTAAATATACAAATTTTCAGATACTAATTTAAAAAGGGACGACTTCTTAAACGAAATGATCTCTTGCAAAATCTGTTTTCTAAACAGTTTCAGGACGAAGGTAAAGTCTCAACAGTTTACCACATTTTAAATTGATACCTAAATACATGAATGGAGCAAATAAATCTAAATAAATGACTTCCTTCTGTAAACTGGGACAGTTTATAGTCTTACCTTCCTGTGATACAGCAGACCATTCAGTGCCAGTAAACTCGTACATGCCCATCCTGATTCTTCTCTTCATCCCAGGAGAGATGGGTAGACCGTGATTAGAATAAAATGGGGGGTACCCACACAACCTGTTGAAGGTTGAAAACAGCGATGTTAGACTGCATTAAATAACAAATCACACATGTTGAAAGGATCAGAGAGATCACAAAAAGGCCGACTTACAGGATATACATGATGACACCCAATGACCACATGTCACATGACTTGTCATATTTCTCTGGGCCCAGAATCTCTGGAGCTGCACACAGTCGGGGGAGGAGTAAAAGAAAACGCAATTGTGAGATGGTGAAATCAATGTCTTGTGTAGTTTTGGAACCATTTATTAATAAACAGGTAGAGAGAATATGACATGCAGAAACAGATCCTTACCAACATAGTAGGGTGTGTAGCAGGGAGTAGCTAAAGAGTTGTGTGACGTGGTCTCCTTGGCAAAGCCAAAGTCTGTCAGTTTTAGCACAGCGTTGGGCTGCTTGGAGGAATACAGTAAATTCTCTGGCTGCAAGGAGTATCAGGGATCCAAGCACAAAGAAAATGAACAGTATCCTGTTAGTAACTGCAGCTGTGGTTCATCCGATCAGATTACTTTAATTTCTCAATAAAGAATGTGGAAATTTCTTAATAACTCAGAAAAAATACCAGGATATGACACAAACCTTCACATCCCTGTGGGCTATGTTGATTGCATGTAGAAACTGGATGGCCTCCCCTATGCTCCTCATGATGTCAGATGCCTCTGAAGTAAAGGGAGAAAAAAGCTCTTTTAGCAGAGATTAAAAGTGATGGATTGTGAGAGATGTACCGGCCAGACAGCTCAATGCTTCTCAACAGGAACAGCAGATAAGAGTATCACTAATAGACTTCATTATTTTGTTGGCCTTAAAAGAGCTCTATATATTTAGCAGGTGTCAGTATGTGTCTGCTGTGTATGTCTGTGTAGATTCTATGGTACATTCGAATCAGTGTGCTATGGGTTCACATGATAAAATATTGCAGGACTGCAAGAAATTATGTGATGTTTAGGGTGAAAATCAAGTTGCTACCTCTCTCTGTGAAGGCCTGGTCTCCTCTGTCCTGGATTCGACTAAAAAGCTCACCGCCATCCATGCTGGGGACAAACAATGAATAAATAACAATAATTAGGATCTTATTTTTGTAGGAACATGCATTCTTTGTATAAATTCCAACTGATAATATGTGCTGCCTCGTAAAGAGATCCGGTCAGCCAAACATCCATGGTGGAGTTTTGCAATGGCACTAATGGAGATGTAGAGGGGAAACAGACCTCAGCAGCAATACTCTAGTAGAGAAAGTTTCCAATAAGTCAACTATTGCTACATCTAAAACTGATAACCATGGATTATGATAAAATTTTACGTCAAAGTAAAGCGCTAAAGCCAAAACAACTTCACTGACATGACATAAAATCTAGTCTAGCTGTGTTTCATGTGCATGACACATAGCTTAGCTGTTTTAAAGACCATGAAGAACACAGAAGGGTCACTGTTACACGCTGGCATATAATTTCAGTCTCAATATGACTGTATTTTGATATCAAAATAATTGCAGTGTGAGAAACCTCAAACAGTGAGGCAGTCCTTCAGTTGTGCAAATGTTTTTAACACTTAGCTGACAACTGTTCTAATGTGGTGAGAATCAATACCGGAAGACTTCAATGCACAAAGGAGTACTAGTACCCAACTAACTGACTACACTGTTTACTATTATATGGTTTCTCCAGAGGCAAGGATATACTTTGTTGTCTCATTACAAAAATATACACATTTTCTATGGTAAAACAATAGCAAAGACAATTAATTTATCCAAGAATAACAGATATCAAATGTGTAGTGCAGCTTTCAAGATTTGACACTTTATGCGAAGTGTCAAATATGAGACATATGGGCGGTAGTTCCTGTCAGTGTATTTTAGAAAAGCAAAACCATCAAAAGCAAAATTCTATAAAGGTTTAGGAGAAGGCAGAAAAATACTTTTTGTAAAGCTATACATCTGGAGTCGGCATTCCTCACACTACAGCCTAATTCTTAGCTATGTTGTGAAAAACAGGCGTAACATTTCAACCTAATGTCTGTTTTTTACACCATTTTCACTTAAACTAGTCAAGGTTTAATTAAAGTATGTTTGTACTTGATTGGTCTGAAAAGCCTCGTATTCCAAACACATCAAATTGCATTTATATGATTATGAAAACACTTGGTAAAGCCATCCCAGAGAAAATGCATAAATAGTTAGCTGGTCAAAGGACTTGAAACAATGATGTTACAGCTTGTAGCCGTTTTGTGCAGCTCAATCACACAGACTTGGACTGGAAATGAAGACAAGAAGGGATTTATACACTTTTACATGCATTTTTTTTTTTAAAAAAAAAAACACAATGCTTTGTATTTGCAATGAATCCACGATGCAAAGCTATCTCCCCAGTGATTTTGGTCCTTGTTTGTTGTTCCCTCAAGCTGCTGAAAAAAAAAAAGAGTCTTGGTCTTAAACAGCCACTGCAGTCTTGGGCGGCTTTAATGCGTGATTATTTTGACCAAATTGACCAATTTGACCAAAACAAATTCCACAAGTGGTATACTTCTGCTATTTTTGGGGTCACTTGCTTTCATGAAAAATAAAAAAAAATAAAAATAAAAAAGTACCTACATTTGAAAAACACATCACAAAATACAACTGGCATACAAGGTAATAAAGTAAAAAAAAAATTGTCAAGTCAAAATAAGCATTGTCAAATGTAGAACAAATGGTTGTTGAGCTTGATTCAATTGAGTATGAGAAACTTGTGCTAAACTTACTTGATAAGTTTCATTTAGTCTAGTTTTGCTCAGTATGACTCTAAGTTTCAGGTCCAATCACCAATTTGGTGTTTGTCGAAAAGCACATGATAGCACAGACCGATTCTTCGGGGACGACTGTCCTAATGGTAGAGCTCGGTTTGCAAACTGCGAGCTGCCTGCGGGACAGCCCTGCTAAACCACAGCACGCTTCAAACTTCTCACAATCACTCACTCGCATTTCGCATAGTGTGAAAAAGACAGCAGCCTGATTGACCATGTTCTGATATAAAAAAAAAAAAAATGATGGCTCATGCAAGAAACCTCCAGCAGTGAGGCAATCCCTCAGCTTTGCCAATGTATCTCGCTCTCGTCTTTTGTGATGAAGGTAGTAGGAAGAAGTTCTCTAAAACCCCACCCTCTTCCTCTGCATTTCTGAAAAAACTGAGATAAGTGTGATTTCTCAGCAGAATAGATATGAAATGATTTTTGATGAACACAGAAGTACCAAGAGTGCACATCTTACTCCACCTCAGCAGAAAACTGCAACACCCTGCACATTTTCAATCTACCCTGCTTCCAATATAAGCAGTTCTAAAACCATTTAATCAGTCTTGTAACACTTTGGAATTTATTCAATGTGACTGCTGATATTAGATATAAAATAAACAAAGCTTATATCTGCTGTAATGATCTTATGCTCCAAAGATGAATGAAAAGGTGCAGTATTAACCGTCACTCTCAGTAGTCTGTACCTGCCAGACTTTCGAATTCTTCAGTGAGCTGCTGAACCACTGCCATAACTGCTTGTAATATGCACAGGGTGTGCTTTTCAAGTAATATATTAAAAAAGAAAAGCCACAAACAAGATCACTGAACACTGAATTTCCTAAATTATGATGATCTGACATAGTGGTGACCCTTTACATAACATGGGGCAACACAGCAGAACCAGCTGAATATAGGTCATCAGACTAACTCAATGACTCAGGGCAGGTAGACAGAACAAAGATTTGACTGTTTCTTACTGTCCTAGTGTGATATTCTAGGAAACATTTTAGTTTCATCAGAATTTTTTATTTTTTTTTTCGCATACAATGCTGACTTTGTTTTCTCAGGGAAATTAGTCAGCAGCAGCAGCAGCAGCAGCGGGGTGTGAAGGCATGTCGATCCTCCGCACTACAGTGGTAACCACAGACCTAATGAATGCACGTGTGACAAGGTGGGGAGGATTTGGTGGTTGAACTATGCTAGTAGATGGAAATGCAATGGTGAGGAAAATATTCTTAGCTCATTTAGAAGAAACGGGTCATTTTCTACTGAGGTCATACAAAACAAATTTACAATAATTGACCTGGCTGAAATGTGTTTTGAATAACAGAGAAGGCAAGATGCTCATAACTTCACCTTTCCTCAAGGTAATGAAAGTTTTGCCATATCTGCCTTCTCAATACTCGGAAATTTGCAAAAAGTAGTAACAAATGGGAATGAGAAAATTGTATTGAACGTACGGTTTTGCATAACAAGCAAAAGGAACACTAAATGGAATATTTAAAGTAAAATCAGGAATTTTCACATGAATATCACACATACATGCATATACAGTCAAAGTGTAGACTTCAACCAAATAAAATTCCATTTCTCAATATAAATTATGAATGTAAAAAGCACAACATAATAGTAAAATAATGTAGCCTTACTTTCACTCTATTTTCAGTGACCTGATAGTAATGTTATTTTCCTGATTTGTTTCATTTGAATTTCCCCTAAAATTGAAACAGAAATAACTCAAAACCTAGTGTACTTTTTTTCAAATTGATTCAATCTTTTTGTACGTAATTGTCTGCTATTTAAAAACTCTAAAAATTAAATAAAAAAAACAAAAAACAAAAAACAAGCTATTTGATAAATTATAATCACACCTTTAAAGTTTTTTTTAATGCGATTTGAAACTTTTTAACTTAAGAGCACATGTACTTCTTGAGAAATAAGCAACTTTTCTAGCTGATGACTCGATGAGGGGGCAGCCCTACTGCACTGTACTGTTGCCATCATTCTGATTGTGCTGTGTGCACTTAGAACATGGCTTTCTAGTTTTATGAAAGGATGAAAGGTCAAGAAAATCAGAAATTGGACAGTTTAACATTGTTTCTCAGGCACTGTACCTCAGCACACTGGATTTGAAATAGACTAATGGATGTCATATTATGCCAAGTGAGATATATCCATTTAAACACATTACACCCTAATTGCAAAGGTTCAAAAGCAAGTGGGCACTTGACAATAAATGTTTCCTGGGCAGCTATCTTTTCTTTCAGTGTTAGGTCATGCACCAATTCATGCTCACAGCTGAGCCTCTTGCTAGCTACCTTCACTAAAATGCCCTCCAAACATCTTTGCAGTAAAGTTTTTGGCAGGAAGACAATAAGTTGCAGTTATTTATGGTAATTATATCTGCTGCTACATATGGATAAGTGTTTTATGGTCTGTGTGTGTGTGTGTGTGTGTGCGCTTACTCACCACTCCATGACAATAAGGAGACACTTCTTGCCCTGATAAAGGTTCTCATAAACCTCAATGATGCGCACAATGTTGTAACAAGGGGACGCCCTCGAGTGGAGCTCCACTTCCCTGCGGGCCTTGGAACTATCCTGCAGCATCTGATCACAACAACAGAGATAGAGAAGGTGAAGCTGATTACCATCAAATATACATATAAAATATACAATAATTTATTAATGAGCAGCTGGAAATAAGTAGAGCCCATGCAATCATCTGTCTTATGGTAGAATTATCAGGTGTGCCCTGAACGGATATCTTGTACATTCAGTTATACACCAACCAAAAGCCACTACTGATTTCTAATACTATTACTGCTAACTAGCAAACATAAAAGAGAAATGCAGTGCTGCCATCAGATGGCAGAATGATGAAAAGACACTTCAGGTTTTCCAGTTTAGTCTTGTGTGAACATAGCACCCTCTGTGTGTCACGCCTGGCCAATGCACTATTCAACACCAGCTACAACAATTAATTTGTTCACAGCTACAACATTGTGACCGGGCAAAGTTAAATACAAACTACAATGCTGAAGTCAAACCAGGAATTTTGTGTGGATGCATTGTTTATTTTTTTTTTGTTTAGTTTTGCTTTTTGTCCTCTGGAACCCAATATTATCAAGTTCATCAACAGAATACTGCTCAAACATATTGTTAGGATTATTTTACTTTCCGATAAATTTGAGGTACACACAAGTAACTTCCTTTCTTTCCAAGCTATAGGTAAGAAAACTGTATTTACATATTGATTTAAAACGTGTTCTAAAATAGTCCCTTGTTATATGCACTTGTACTTTTTGAAAAACATTTATACACATTCATTTTTTTATTTTCACTAAATGTTTTCAAATTCCCACAATAAAATTAAGACATTCAATGATGTCCATGTAAGTAAAAGTGAAATAAGTAAGCTGTCTGCAAGTTACTAAATATGAGTTTTTTTTCTAAACTTGGGTGCCCCTATTTAGTAAGCAGCAGAACTTATTATGGACAGGGTCATGTATTATATGACCTTACCAGTTGTAAATAACACAGCAAATGCCACAGAGATTGTCACAGGAAACTAGCTGACTCCCTTACAGTAGTAAAAACAGTTGCTTGGTCAAATATAGGCCTGAACTTGTGAACTATGAGCTTGAGCCTGTCTCAAAGAGCAAATTAGGATAATGAATCTTAAGCCTGCCCAACAGCAGAGTGTACTACCTACAACTTAAGACTCAAAAATTAGAAACAACAATCTCAGTATAGCGTATATGCAGACTAACTTCTACTTCAAAGCAACTTCCATTTTTGGCATTATTGATCCAGCAGGAATCCAAGACCCCATTATAGCCCTCACAAAGGATTCAACAATTTTGATGGCAGGTATAAAGAAACAGATTCATAGTTGCTCTGAGGAGGTTTTCAGCTACAGAAGAGTGTTCACTTCTTACCAGTGGCACTCCTTGTAAAAGTCTGACAATTGAGACTGGAATATAAAATGTAGAATTTAGACAAGTGAATGTTAAATAAGCACTTGTGTTGGTCTATGGAACGAACTAATTCCACACCATACAGAACACAACCCAACAAGAAGAATCTTAAAATATCCCTGTCAGTCAACGGAAAGAATTCAGTCAAGTAGCTCTGACAAAGAGCCATCGTCTGTCCATTTTGTAGTGTATTACATTCCACTGCTGCCCACGTTTGCAGCACAACAGTGGGCTTCATTCCAGCGGACAATGAGTGTGCAGTCTGCTGTCTGGTCTGGCACACAAATTTGTCAGTATGTTTACATGCTCGTAAGAAAACAGGTTACTCAGAAATAGCAAGTTACACAAGAAATCAATGTGTTTACATACACTGCTGCAACGTGGTTCCTGTGAAGGTTCAATGAGCAGTGTCAGATCTCTCTCATACCTCCTACCTTATTTTTAGAAGTTATTACTTATTATTCAGTGGCAAGAAATCACAAGTAAATACATATTATCTGGATTTATGTACACTTTTCCCTTAAAATATGATCCAACTGTGCTTTTCAAGCTCTCGCACCAAAACTGTGGAACGCTCTTTGTCTACAGCTGAGATCAGTCGACTCCTGTCAATCCGTTATGAGGCATCTGAAAACGTTTTTATTCTGACTGGCTTTTGGTTTACCTGTACCTGCTTTATTTTATTGTATTTTATTTATTGTTTTTGATGCACTGTGATATAGCTGTGGCTCCTTGTTTTAACAATTTCTTACCTTTATCATTATTATGTTTTTATCCTTGTTTTATTATTGCTGTAAGGCACTTTGTGATTTTGCATCTGTGAAAGATGTTATAGAAATACATTTTACTTACTTAACTAGATCTTGTATGAACAATCTATTTCAAGTGAAAAAACTGTTGCATTGGCCTTGTCCATACTGAATATGTGAATTCCTTGGCTAATGACCTCAGCAGAAGTAAATTTGAGGTGGGAATTTACAAACTAGGAGGCCAAGGTTGGAGGTGTGGATTAAAGCTACATTGACTTACAAAAACAACACTCAAACATTTTGAGTTTCCTTTTCACATGAAGCATTTGCTGATGCAAACCAGCACTTACAATAACACAATCTTATCACAAAGTCTCAACCATCAAGAACTGCTGATTTGCAAAGAGCCGGAAAATATTACACATTAGTCTCAATGAAGACAGTCATCTGTTCTCAGATAAAAAGCAAGAAGATGAAAGAGATGGAGAGTGAGTTTACTAACTGTAACCTGTAGGCGGTAGCTAAAGCATGAAAGTTTTGTCTACTTGTTCAGTGTGACTGTTCGTCTCTCCTCTCCTAAATGAAATGATTTTAAAAAGTCTGATCTGTCGTAGCTGAACCATTTTCAAACAACAGAGGAAGCTCACCCCACCAAGTTCGCAAGCAAACAAGATGTCAATATTATAGATGCAAACACTTCATTATCCAACTACATTGTCCATAGCAATGGATGACAGAGTCTGATCACTGGAATGATTATATGTCTCAGTCCAATTTCCAAACACATTAAATGAAATGCATTTTTGGAAAACATTCAAAGGTCACAGTAGTTTATCCTCACTGGCCGGTTCAAAGCCAGCGACTTAGTGTTTGAGTGCCTTTTGTATTTAACAACTCAATAATTAGCTTAGCAAGACAAAGGTAAAGACCTGCATCCATACAGTGATTTGGACAACATTATCTTCCCTTAGTATTAGCATTGCGGCAGAGAGGCTGTTCTCCATCACTGGAAACCTGACCTCTTATTTTATATACCAAAAACATTTAACCAGCGAGGTTGGTCAGTAATCTAAACTTTCCGTTCATAGTTTTTCTTCAGGAAGACGACTTATATAAGACGCTTTCAAGTAAACAGAGAAAAACATGTTAAATAAAAAATAATTTACACCCTAAATCTAAACCATCCATTATTTATACACCGCTTAATCCTCACTAGGGTCGCAGGGGGCTGGAGCCTATCCCAGCTGACTTAGGGCGAAGGCAGGGAACACCCTGGACAGGTCACCAGTCTATAACAGGGCTACACTTAGAGACAGACAACCAAGCACACTCACATTCACACCTACGGACAATTTACAATCACCAATTAACCTCAACATGTTTTTGGACTTGTGAGAGGAAGCCAGAGAACCCACACTGCACGGGGAGAACATGCAAACTCCACACAGAATGATCCTGGTGCCCCCACCAGGACGCGAACCAACAACCTTCTGACTGCGAGGCAACAGTGCTGCCATTTAGCTTAATTGTCAGTCATGTTTCATTTGCAGCTAAATGATCACATGTCAAGAGTCAGTGGTTTGGCAGACAGTACACTGGACAGAGCCTCTTAATATAGTGGCTGCTTTTTCTTTATAAAACAAGAACTGTTTTGAATTAAGAATCAATTCTGAAGTGCAACGTGACACTAAGAATTTAAAATTTAAACTGTGACACTACTGACATATTTTATAAATTAATATACCAGAGGTTTTTCTAGAAAAAAATTGTATGAGGGCGCACACCATGTCGAGGGAGCCCCAATCATACATGTACACTACAGCTCGGGGAATTCCTCCACCTTCCCCAGGAGCTGCGCCTGGATGATGGCCGCTTCCAGCGCCGTTTTCGGCTGATCAGGACCCAGTTTGACTACCTGCTGGAGAGGATTGTTTAGCGCGGCCAGAATCACTTCATTCGCGTCAATCGCGCCGAGCTAATCGCGGGACATTTACTCGTGTCTAATTGCGTCTTCACATTGACTGTACATGTAAATCATTCGCGCGAGTGATTTTTACTCGCGTCTGGTGTGAACACAGGGTTCAATTGGCATTTTGGTAAGAGGGCGCAAGCCGGGAGTATGAGGGCTCAGCACCCCTGTAACATTGTTTAGACAAACCTCTGATATACAGCTATATAACTAAAGTTAATAGCACTGAGATAACAGATTTTTTTTTTCTTAATTTTACCAGGTAAGTTAGAGAACTGGTTCTCATTTTCAATAACATCCTGGTCAAGAGGCACCATACAAACAAGATAAATGGCCAAAGTCAGCCAAACAAGGGAAGAGGTGGAACAAGTTTTTCACCAACATACTTTCCATATTTTGTAATCTGATTAGTCGCACATATCTTATTGTCATGCAGCTCTGAAGAGTTTCAGACTCATCTGCACACTTCCCTCATATCAAGCATGTTCAAGAGTCACATTTTTACTAATTTAAGAAAAAATTATTTGCAAAGTAAAAATGGTAGGCACATCTAAATCTAATAGTGGATTTTCAAATTCAAAAGGCCCATGGCTCACTTTTCCTGCCGCAAACTCAAGCAAAACACCTCTCTCACAGAAGAGTGGAGATCAGGCACTTGTTCATTCCAAACAGGTTTATTTCTACACTTTGATTTTACAATTAATAATAATAAAAATCTATATATACTAAAGGGTCAGTCCATTGTTTCTCTTTGTCTTTCTCACACTGGCATTTGATTGCTTTATCACTTTGACACATTTGTTTTAAAGACTTCACTGCAGGCAGTTCTGTGATCATATAGCTGACTGAGATGCTACAGTGAGTGTGTGTGTGTGTGTGTGTGTGTGTGTGTGTGTGTGTGTGTGTGTGTGT